CATTGAGCGGTTTGTCCGTGTAGCGCCGAGGGGAGCGGGGCGGCTGCGGGCGGGGTCTGGGCTCCCCGCACTCGGTGCGGGCAGACAGCCCGGGGTCGGTGCCTGCGGGAGCGCCCTCACTGTTCCGCCTGCCCTTCAGATTCCCTGCCTGTGCAGCGGTGCCTCCTGCTTGCTGTGCCGATGTTGTCCCAACAGCAAGAACTCGACGGTGACGCGTCTCATCTATGCCTTCCTCCTCCTCCTCAGCACCGTTCTTGCCTGCATCATGCTGGCACCAGGGATGGAGGAGCAGCTGAAAAAGGTATGGGGGGGGGGAAACCTCTGTCCAGCTGTCTGCAAAGCTGTTAGTTGTGCCAGTGACTTGACTGGAATGGGTTACACGAGGGACACAAGCACCAAATGTGCTTTGTTCCCTGAGTTGAGAGGCTGCACGTGCTGCACAGCAGAAGCCATGAGTGGTTGTTGCAGGCAGGTTGATAGCAAATGCTAGTAGATGACTGTGAATGTAGGTTTTTAAGTATGTGCCTGCTCTCTGAACCTGCCCAAACCTGGACACGGGCAGTTATTACCAGAGTCCTGCTGCTTGGTGTCCTCATCTTCCTGTGATGACCCAGGATGGAAAGATGCTGGTGAGGTCTGCGCAGGCTCTCCCAGGAGAGAGCTGCCTGAGAGCCTGAGCTGGTCGAGTGCTTGAGGAACGTGATTGCCAGTCCCTGTGCCCATTCCCACCTGGTGTCTCTGCTCAGATCCCCGGGTTCTGTGAGGAGGGCCCGCACAGGTGGGTCCCGCACGCCGGTGGGTTCCCCAGCTGCGAGGTGTTCGTGGGCTACCGGGCCGTGTACCGGGTCAGCTTTGCCATGGCTGTGTTCTTCTTCCTGCTCTCCCTGCTCATGCTGGAGGTGAAGACAAGCAAGGACCCGAGAGCTGCAGTGCACAACGGGTATGTGTGTGAGCCTTCTGTCTGGGCTGCCCACTCGGGTCCTCTCTCCTCTCACCAAGGTGATGGGAAGGCTGGAGTAGCTCTGCTCTGAGGACAGGATGAGAGAGTTGGGGTGTTCAGCCTGGAGAGGAGAAGGCTCTAGGGAGACCTTAGAGCACCTTCCAGTGCCTGAAGGGGCTCCAGGAAAGCTGGGGAGGGACTTGGGACAAGGGCAGGGAGGGAGAGAATTGGGGGAATGGATTAAAACTGGAAGACAGGTGATTTAGGTGAGACACTGGGAAGAAATTCTTCACTGTGAGGGTGGTGAGACACTGGCCCAGGCTGCCCAGGGTAGTTGTTCTGTTTGCTGAAGCAGGAGCTTCTCTTTTAGCAAAGCTCTCCAGCTCCCAGTCAGTCCTTTTGCCTGGACTTTTGTCCCAGGTTCAACACTCTTTATTTGCCTTTGTTGAGGTTTCTCTCAGTCCCTGTCTCCAATGTATCGTTGCTTCCCCCTCTCCTCCTGATTTGATGAACATGATCTGCAATTCCCCTGGACACAACACTTTTTTCCTTTAAATTCCTGTTAGACCCTCACCTATGTGCAGCAGCCTGCTTGCAGATAGTGTAAAACATCCATGTGGTGTGCAGAGTAAGACCAATATTTTCAACTTGTATCTTCTTTTGAAGGTTCTGGTTCTTCAAAATTGCTGCCATTGTGGCTATCATGGTTGGAGCATTTTACATTCCTGAAGGGCCTTTCACATCAGGTACAGTTAATGTGTCATCAGGGAATTCTGCTTAATAAACCTTTTCCCAGACTTACCAGGCTATAGTTGTGATAGTGAAAGTTATCTTGTAGAAGACACATTCTGTTCTAATTAGAGTATCTTGGTTCATCCAGTATCTTGGTGACCAGCTGAAGTTAAGGGAACAATCAGTCTCTTTCCCAGGGTGTGGGTGTTGGGGGTCAATAGTTCAGTGACACTCCATGACATGATTGCTCCTGGGCTGAGTCTCCTGACATCTTTTAGATTAGAGGCAGCTCGGAACACTCACAATTACTGAACAATTCCCTAGAGTCTCTGATAACCTGTCCCAAGAAACCTCGACTGTCTGGCCACATCACAGGAACTTGAAGGGGTTGTTGATACTGGATGAAATGTGGGATGATGGTACTTGTGTAGGCAAAGATGTCCTGAGTTGGATTTCACATTCATTCTGAAAACAGACTGGGCTAAACATTCCCATGCTTGGCTTGACTGGCATAGGCTGCACCTTGGAATAGCTGGGACTCCTCACATGCTTCTGCAAGACAGAGGCCAAAGTGGTTTAACAGCATCTGCATTTCTAAATATAGTTTCAGATTTTTTCAGTATTTTTCTGAAGTGTAATTAGGAACTTTTATTTATTTTTAACTGGGATGATACACAAATGATGAGAGCTAACCCTGTTTTTCTCACTTTTTTTTCTAGCTTGGTTTGTTATTGGTGTTTGTGGAGCTTTTGTCTTCATTCTTATCCAGTTGGTGCTTCTTGTGGACTTTGCTCACTCCTGGAATGAGAGCTGGGTTGAGAGAATGGAGGAAGGAAATACTAAATGTTGGTATGCAGGTAGGAAGCTGAACCTGGAAAGGATTTGTTTGTGCTGGCCAGTACTCTGCAGAATATCACTAGTTAGCAAACATCCTGGAATTACACTGCAGCCTGGAGTCACTAATGGAAACGTCTGAAATTAATAGCTGTAGTGTTGCCTTCTTCTGATTAAATAACATGCAAGATATTTTAGGCTTGTGCTGAGCAGAGCTGGGAGCCGCAAGAGCCAACACTTGGTGAGTTTGCAGGTGTTTGAGTGTGGAGACAGGAGCCTGGATCTCTCCAGCTCTGACTTTGCTTTGTCACCTCCCTGCAGAGGTTCCCAGGGAGGCAGTGGCTGCAGTGCCACACACAGGGTGACTCCCTGCAGGCTCTGACCACCGAATTACAAAGTGCTAATTGTTGTGGTTCTTTGGCTCCGAGCTATGAATGTTGCAGCAGCACTTTGTAGCTTCTTACAAGGAACACAGAGTGAAACTGGAAATGAGTGGCATCTAGCATAGAAGGGGGAATTCAGGGCCTGTAAATAGCCCATGAGAAGTGTGCAGACAGAACTGTCACTTTCACACTGTGGCTTGCCATCAGTTAAACCAATTAAACTGCTGCTGAAAGGCAGGTCTTATTCCCCTGATGGCAGCTTTGGATTTCCCCTGAGCTACATTACTCAGTGAGCCAAAGCAGAAATCTAGCTCTACCTCATGAAATGCATTCTGCCAGTCTAGTTTTCTGTATCAGACTTCCAAGTGAAGAAAAGTGACAGTCTCTTAACAGGGGTAACTGGTCATTAAATCACCTCAGATGTACTGTTAAACTACATGTGTTATTTTTTTCCCTTCCAGCTCTGCTGTCATGTACAAGCTTCTTCTATGCCTTGTCCCTGGTTTTTGTTGTGCTCTTCTATGTTTTCTACACGAAGCCTGATGCCTGCACTGAGAACAAGTTCTTCATAACCATTAATATGCTCCTGTGCATTGTTGTCTCCATCGTTTCTATCCTTCCAAAAGTCCAGGTATTATTTTTCTCTATTTTCTTCTGACATCCAAAGCAGGGAAGTAAGGTGTAGTACCAATTCAGTCAGACATAAGAACTTTAAAATTTGGCTATTGTAGCTGTGCTAGCTAGGAAAATTTGAAGATAAAAAAATCTTGATCTGAAACCAGTTCACGACATAGTGACATATCTGCTGAAGAGAGAATTTTTTGGTCTAGCATTGTTTTGGACTCCCATGTGGGGCACTGCTGGCTTGGTTTTAGTATTTTGAAAGTTCTGGCAGAACAGAAAAACCCATTAAGGAAAAGCAAAATAGGCTGGGAATTTATTTGCTTTATAATGTGGCTTTGAAGTTAGGGGTAAGTATGTTAACATGAGAGGATGCTTGCATGCTAGTTGATTCTGAACTGGTATTGCTCAAATGAATCACCTGCTATGTTCATATCTACTGAAGTGTTAAACCAGTTGGGATTAACTCAGAAGAACCCATAACCCAATCTGGGGCACAGAAAAACTGGATTCCCTCCAGTCTTTTAAACACAGAACAAACCACAATGCATTTCTAAACAAGCTTTTCATTCTTCCACGTTACTGAATGTGTGTCAGTAGGGTACAACTACCCAGCTGTGGGGAAAGTTGGTCCTTCTGACCTTGTCTTGCTGTCCTGTCCTTGAATAGGAGCATCAGCCTCACTCTGGCCTCCTCCAGTCCTCTGTGATCACCCTCTACACCATGTACCTCACCTGGTCAGCCATGTCCAATGAGCCTGGTAAGCAGCAGCCTGTCTTGAGTGACACTTGGGTGTGAAGCAGAAGCTGTTGATGGGGTTTGAAGTTATGACAGATCCCTGTGTGGGGATTGCTGACCTGTCTAGATAAAATCCAGTGAGGCAGTAAAGCTGACATTACTGAAACCATCACCTTGCCTCTTTCCAGTGCTAAACTGGGCTATTTGTGAGGGGAAAGAAAAGAGTGGCAGGGAATACTGGTTTTATTTATTTATTACAGTCTTGCCTAGTTCATGAGAAGCAAAAATATTCCTTGCCATTGCAGCCTCTGGGGAATCAAGGAGATCAGCAATTAAAGGGAATGACAAAATTGTAAGCTTACCTGTCATCTTTTCTTAGCTAAATGCTGTCAAAGCTCATCTCTCTTTAATCTGCCTTGAAATCCCTTTCAGAACGAAGCTGTAACCCAAGTTTGCTGAACATCATTACCCAGATAGCTACACCCACAGCTGTTCCAGAAAATACCACAGTCCTACCAGCTACTCCAGCTCCACCCAAGTCCCTACAGTGGTGGGATGCCCAGAGTGTTGTTGGATTGGTGATCTTTGTCCTGTGCCTCTTGTATTCCAGGTAGGACTGCATTGCTTTCAGATGATGAACAGTTGGGATTTGTCTGCCTTTTTGGTTGAATCAGTGTCTAGTGGAAAATGCACCTGCATTTATTCATATCCAGTTGTCTCAGCTGTGACTTCTGCATGTCATTTTGTGGGTGAGGCCAGGCTTTATTAGCCCAATTCAGATAACAGAACAAAACATGTTACAAGACCTAGGAACAGTGTTTCACAGGGCTAACAAAAGCCTGGATGAAAACAGATCTCTGAGGAGCTTCCTTGTGTTTCCCAGTGGATTAAAAAAAATGTTACTTGCTAGACCAAGACATGCACTGTGGTCTGTGACTTGCTTTGTTAGCAAACACAGCAAACTGGGGAGGGGGTTTGTAACCACATCTCTTTGGGTTACCCTGCAGCATTCGCTCCTCCAGCAACAGCCAAGTGAACAAGCTGATGCTGTCTACAAGTGACAGTGCCATTCTGGAGGAGACTGTGGGAACAGGCAGTGGGACTGGAGAGGAAGGAGAAGTGCGCCGTGTCCTGGACAATGAGAAGGATGGTGTGCAGTACAACTACACCTTCTTTCACTTCATGCTCTTTCTTGCCTCTCTTTACATCATGATGACGCTCACCAACTGGTACAGGTAAGAGCAAGGAAAAGGGGTGGGTTGTTTGTGCCAGCCAGTGTGTTTTAGGGGACAAGGGGACTCCTGCCCAGCTGATGAAGGTGCTGTCCCTGTGCCATTTCTATTAGAATTGGGCCTTCTCAGTTCTGTGTTGATGTGAAAAAACCTGTACCGAAGATTAGCAGCTGTTGTTGTAGGGGGACTGTATTGTAGCTGCAAGGAAAAAGTGTGGTTGCCATCCTTCAGATATGCAAGCAGCAGGAAGGTCACATAGGGAATTGGCTTGAGGTGGCCTCTTGGGAAGTTTTTCAGAGGCCAACCTAATATCACTGGCTCTGCACCCTTGGGACAGATATGCAAGGACAACCATATGTGCCACTTAGAGAGATGATTTTCTAGATCTATTTGGAGCACTTGAACCAATCCTCTGCTGCTGTAGCTTGTAACTGGGGAACTGCTTTCCCCAGGATGCCCCCTTGCACAAATTAGCAAATACACTTCTAGAGCAGCAGCCACAGGGAGATGACTGCATCTGTGTTGATGTGAAAAAACCTGTACCGAAGATTAGCAGCTGTTGTTGTAGGGGGACTGTATTGTAGCTGCAAGGAAAAAGTGTGGTTGCCATCCTTCAGATATGCAAGCAGCAGGAAGGTCACATAGGGAATTGGCTTGAGGTGGCCTCTTGGGAAGTTTTTCAGAGGCCAACCTAATATCACTGGCTCTGCACCCTTGGGACAGATATGCAAGGACAACCATATGTGCCACTTAGAGAGATGATTTTCTAGATCTATTTGGAGCACTTGAACCAATCCTCTGCTGCTGTAGCTTGTAACTGCTTTCCCCAGGATGCCCCCTTGCACAAATTAGCAAATACACTTCTAGAGCAGCAGCCACAGGGAGATGACTGCACAGCTCAGTGAAAGGTTTCCTTTAAAAGCAGCACATCAAGGAATGCAACCAGGAAACTGCTGGTATAGTTGTCTCATTATACTCCTCCCACAAAGGCTCTTGCACTGGAGTGTCCCAAATGATTGTCCTAGTTTAAGAATCATTATGAGAGGTAGCAAGGAGTAGTGGAAGGTACCTTCTACATCTATTAACTGACTTATTTACTTTTTAGCCCTGATGCAGATTTTAAAACTATGACAAGTAAGTGGCCAGCCGTGTGGGTGAAGATAACCTCCAGCTGGGTTTGTCTCCTTCTCTATCTTTGGACCTTAGTGGCTCCTGTTGTCCTTACTAACAGGGACTTCAGTTAAACTGCTGCACCTGTCTGAGCTTGCAAAAGTGGGGAACTTTTTTGCTGGAAGCCAAAATGTTCAAAACTGACTAATGTTAGTTATTCTGTCCATGTTGCTGTTTCTTATGTGAATATTAAGATGCAGGTGGATAGAAAGTCATGTATTGCATAGTGCTTGATGCAGGATGGAAGTTATTATCAGCTCTCTATTTTAACCTTCAGTCATGGTTAACTTGTTACTGCATTTTTTTAAAAAACTCACTACAGCTGTACTGTCAAAGCACAAAAGAAAATACCTTTTCTGTCCTATAGCCACAACTTTTCTATTGAATAGAGGTAACAATTAGCTAACTATGAAGTAATATATTTTAAAGAACAATTTTATTCAGCATAATGCACTACTATGTTCATGCTTCAGTTTCTGGAGCATAAGCTATGCTGCTTGATTTCTACATTCCACTGCAGAAGTTTTTTTAAATTTATACTTACCTTCCTGTGTTGTGGCAAAAAACCCCAACCCTTTATTTCTCACCAAAGAACAAAACTTTGAGGTTGAAAAATCTGTGAACTCTAATTCCTTTTAAGAACAAACTTGCCCTTTCTAAGAGGCAAATTCTATAGTAACTTCTTTTTTTAATACCTTTGCCAAATATTGAGTGGTAAGTGTATGACTAGCTTAAGCAAATTTATGCTTATGATGGAAAAACAGCTTCTAGTTGGTTTCACTTGTCTTAATATGATTATAAAAATAATTTACATGAAATTATTATTGGTATTGGCACTAAAGCTTTTGCACTGTAAACTTGTTTGAATAAAGCAGACTAACTACTGAAACTGTCCCAGCTCTGTTTAGGAGTATTAAGAAGCAGCAATTATTCTCCAATGAATACAATAATTAAATAGCTAATTAGCTCCTGCAGTGTGCAGCCAGATGTGACTGGATGTGTTCTCCATGCAGCAAACAGTAAGTCATGATATATACCTTTTGAAACAAACAGCATCTTCCATGGGGTTCTCTAAATGTCAAATCCTATTCCTTGATGCTGCTCAGGTACAGTTGTTCAAGTACAATTTAGTTCTGCAGCAAAAAGCAAGACTTTCTTCTAATTTAATGCAATTATTTAGTTACAAGTATGTGTTCAGTGTGGAGCTGAAGTGCATGTTGTTACTGACTTTTAGAGTAAAATACCTCAAGATGACACAAATTGAAAATATCAATTAGCAGCTGTTACAGTGTGTTTATTCACCCAGTCATGCATCATAAAATTACACATTTTGACCACTCCATTTTATAAAATGCATTATAAAAATAAATTTTGTCAAAGTGAGATGTACACTTAACCACCCAACACCTCTAGGCCCACATTCAACAGAAGGCAACTTTATTAGTTTGAGTAACACTATGATTAAACTCATGCCAAAATGAGACTTAACACAAAGCAAAACAAAACAACTTTACTAAGTTCCTGAAAATACCTCAGGGTTTATAACACCCATTTGCAAGAGTATAAATTCAAGTACTTTTATGTACAATATGCAGCCACCTTTTTGTCCCACTTAAAGGCAAAAGCCCTGGGTGTCCAATGCAGTTCAAGTATCTTTCCTTATGCACTGGATTTGGCAAGGATGGCTTAAGTACTGGGCAGGGCTTGAAACCTCTGGAAACAAAGTTATTTCAACTGGAGAAAAGAACAGATCAGTTCCAGTGCTATGAAAGAAAGAAAGAAACAAAAAAACTCCCACCCTGTATGCTTTTTCTGTCTCTTTAACTGGCAGGTAAGGAGACTCTATACTTTAAACAAGAGTTTATTTTCCAAATGCTGACATGAGGAATTTTGGGAACAGACTGATTCCTTTGCTAGCAAGCGCTGAAGCTCAAAGAACACTCAGCTCAGCAGTCAGGCACGTATCAGACAGAGCTGTGCTTTCTGTAAGACAAGCCAAAGCTGACAAGGGTTAGAGATACAGCTCAATCAAATTGCAGCTCTTGAGTTCTAAAGTCAAAAGAGAGGAAATTAAAAATAACAAATGCCTGACAAAGGTAAGCCTGGCTTAATTCAAGCATCAACTGCCCAGCAGCCAGCTGTAAGAAAAAAGTTCTGGAGGCATAGCACAGGCTGTGTCAAGCCCTGATAACAGCCTTATCTATTATGTTTAAAGCATATGCTTTAGCTTGGTTTCTGTGAGCAGAGGAGAGAAGGGGAGGGAGAGAGTGATCTGGTTTGCCTACTACTTAAGGCATGCAAGAGAATATAAAAGCCTGAAAAAGGGTTTGGTTTCAATAGAGGGTCCTCAGCCTTCTGCTGAACAACACTACAATTTAGTTACTTTTTTCTTTGGAGGGCACTAAATTGAATTTTGAATATTCAATCTCCCTCTCTAGTAGTTACATAAATAGATCAACATAGCTGTTCTTACAGGTCAACTGTCTAAACCCCCTCCCCCCTTTTCAAACCCTGCAGCACAACTGAGGAAGGAGTATCAAATACTAGTCATGCCTTGAGGAAAAATGGTCTATCCTGATTTTTCTGTTTAATTGTATATTGTGGCTGGAACTAAGAGGCATGAAACCAACATAAACACCACTGCTCTGGCAGTGCAACAGTGTGGGCAGCTTCTTACCTTTCTAAATCCTGGTGCTGTGTGCTGCTGTCTTGCTAGGTGGCAAAAAGACTGAATTTATCTCTGCAAAACATGTAGCACATGATGGTCAGTGGCCAGCAGTTATTTTAATTAGATGAAAATGGTAGGGTTTGTGGTTTTTCCCCTGCACTAGAGGTAAGGCTGTCAAAGAGGAGTAAAGGATTGACTTACAAAGGTAGGAAAAACCAAATGTTTTCCATGAAGAAAATTAATCTCTTCCCACCTTTATTCTAAAACAGCTCAAGTGATGAGTTCTCTGCTCCCACAAATTTGGAACTGCCACCCAGAAAAAAGCCTCACAGTTTACCTGTTTTCAAAACCCAGTCTCCTTTGATAATGTCCGGACAACAGGTATGGCACTTGCTATCCCCCTAATTCCAGGAGAATGCCTGCTGCCAGGTGAGGAAGTCATTTCAGTGGTGGAGGAGTCTCTTTTTGGCAATGCAATCATGCTGTAGGGGGACTGAGAGGAAGAGAGACATTCAAAAGAAGAGTTTGGCACTTTGAAAAATGAATGTCTGAAATCCTCAAGATGCTTTATATTTACAGAAACATAACTGGTAGCTATAATCACACTTGGCACTAAAGATTTCAGCCAGAGAAAAGTGCTCTAGAGAGAAGTCTCCAATTAGAAGGGATGTCCTTTTACACCAGAGTGAAATATTTCACCTGGAAGTAACTGCTTTCCTGGTCCTAGTGAGGACCACAGTATTATTGTGCAGAAAAATGTGTGCAAAGCATGTGCTGACAGTTAAGGTTGAATTCAAGACTGTGAAACAGACTGAACTTGGGGAGTGGGCCCAGCTTATTTAGACATGGGTATCTTACCCTCATTTGACATTGCAGTCTTAGTTCTGTCTCTAGACAAAGACCTAGAAGCACAGGCATACAAGCTACAGGTAAATATTACAGAGAAGATTAAAGTCTAACTTCATAGAGGAACATGACAACCAAAGACAAAAGAGGTCAAAAAAGTTGAAGCCAAAATTGTAACAGTTCACAAAAGAGCCCACAGGCACAGTGGGGAAAAAAAATAATGCTACAATACCAGGAAGTTTAAGAATGTGCTTTCAAAGAGCCTGTCTGCATTTGGTTTCACAGACTGTTAAACTCAAATTCTGCCTAAAGTAACAAGCTAAAGAAGCACCATGTTGTCTCACATGAAGTATTGTCTTCCACACCTCCTATGCCAACTGCTACAAAGTCTCCTTAGGAATTTTCTGTATGAGTTCCTTACCCAAGTCCTCATCACAGCCAGCTGAAGAAGGAACAACTGACGTTGTGGTAAGGTGACTGACATAGTATTTTCTTATTTGGTCCTGAACCTCATTATTTGGAACTGTATAATCTAATAGTATCCTTAGTACTTAATTGGAACAGCTTCCTGTTTTCTGAAAATGAAGACTGCATCTGTTTATAAGTGTTCATAGATATTCAAGTAGTTAATCCACCAGTTCTAGGCCTTCCTACTGTGAGGCAGTTTCAGAAATGATCTCTATACTGATATTCATTTCAGCCAAATGTTCATGGAGATAGTCCAGAAATGCCAACTCACAATATGAACCAACTGCCAAGTTGGACTTCTGCTCTTTTTTAAGTAACCTTCACTGTCAGAACTACATTTTGCAGGGTTCAAAAGCAATTTTCTTGTCTTGGATTACTGGTGTTTGCAGAAGGAGAAAGGAATGGATGGTCACAAAGCTAGTAAGTCATTTTCACTTTTCACCTGGGCAAGAAGGGGATAAGAAACTATCAAGCTTACCATCCTGCAATATTTTTCTTTATCGTTTAAAAGAATAAGCCAGTTTGCATCATTCCCACAGAGGCTGAGGAGCCTCAAGTATCTGCATAACTTGTGCTCTTTGCCTTTATTCTCCCTGAACTCTGCCCTGCCCCCACTGTGCCCTCTTCAGCTTCCTTTGGTTCTACAGTGTAAAGTGCCTTGGCGGTCTGTTCCTGAACTGCAGGTTTAGGAGTAAGGCAGAGTTCACAACATCACCCATCAGAACAGATCTGAACTGTGCTGGAAAACCTCCTTTCCCTGTGTTGTTTTAATAACAGTAATAGAGCTGAGGTTTCATGCCTCGCAGAGAATCATCACATTGCTTTTCATCAGCATCCCCACTCACTAGCATGTCATGGGGAGAGCTGTCACAGGGGAGAACCAGCTGTGAAAAGTCATGCAGGAAGTCCTCTTCAGAGGCTAGCAGCAGCTCATTCCATGCAGAGATGTCCAGCTTCCCTGAAGTACCACCATACTCTTCAGGAAGGATCACTGGAGGAATGTTCTGATGAAGGGAATTGAGATCACAGCCATGAAGAAAAAACTGAAGAAGAAAGCAAAAATACAGCTTTAATCATGCATGTCCAGCACTTTACAGCAAATTACTGAAACAGTCAGCTAACAAGCTGCTTCTGGGTTAAAGAGCAAATTTTGCAAGTGATGTATTTATGGGCAAGTGGCAGCAGACAACACTGTGGACAGGTGCAGTTAGACACACAAGTGAGAGAAGTCTTGAGACAAGCCAAGTCTAGTGCAGCTTAAATCTCAGCAAGGGACACTTGACAGTTGATAGTCTTGCGGAGGCTCTAAATTCAGCTCCTTCCTAGTACCCAGGGGACTGGAAGTAGTTATCCTTGTGGAAAAAAGCATCACCCTTTGCAACTGCATCCAGAGGATACTAGAGCTGTGCAGAATGTTTGCATGTGGGAGAAGCTCAAGGACAGGGCAACACAAGATTTCCTGTGAAACCATCTCACAAACAAAGTGTTAACTTGCCAAGATAATCCAACCCCTGGAATAGATTAATGTCCTGAATACACAGCATGTGTACTAAAGATGCATATAAATGTGCCAGTATTCAATTCCTCAAAGCTTCTTTCTCATGAGGAATTCTCCCAACATGCACATTTTTAAAAACTAAAAGCAGAAAAGACCAGTTAGATCAAGGAAATGGCACCAACATTTTTCTAGCTGTAAGGTTTTTGAATGGTTTTTGCTTGCAGCAGCAGAGCAAGGAACTTACAAACATAAGCATTAATGTTAAAATGACAAATCCTTACCCGATTTGCTATCTTTTCCTTCAGAAAAGGCTTGATAATTGCAAAAATGCCTTTGAATATACGAGGCTCATTTATTATGTTAACAGCTTTTATTCGAATGGGGAATCCATCCTGAAGGGTAAAGAAGAATATTATGCAGTTTAAAAAACATTTGCCATCTTCCTCTTTAATAATCCCCTCAGGCTGACTGCCAGCACAACCCACTGGCTCCCAAACTTCCATCTGAGCTACCAACATAAACCAATACTGCAACAGAAATCAGCTTGTAATAGGGATTAGTCTTAGGATGAGATCTCCGGGCATGAAAATAAAGGCAAGAGACAAGAAAACTTTGAAGAGAATCACACTGCTGTCTGTAAGTCTTCATTTCTTGTCCTGTGCTTCATTTTTCCCTGACAGAGATGTTTAGATAATCACTGTCCTTCACAGGTATTGCATCCTAATAAGGATGCAGTTATGAAGTGATGACCCTAGCTTCTTAGGAGGGCACCACACTAAGAGCCAGAGCAGATTTCTTCTAACAGTGTTTCCAACTTCAAGATTTGGTGCTCAAGTTACTCTAAAATGTGTTTTTATATATGGAAGAAAGGTACTACCACTATTTTTCTGCCACTCCAACTATTCTGTCATGCTAACTGCAGAAGACAAACAGGCCCTGCTGCCGGCAGAGCACAACAGTGCCTCCTATAGAAGACAGTTTAAAACAACAGTTGTGGAATTTCTGCTGGGGAAACTTAACTGTAGAAATATTTTTCCAAGGCAAAAGCTCATGATCAGTAAGGTCTCATGCTACAGTGAAGCTTCTTCCCCTTATAACCAGCTCTCCATTTGCAAAGCAAGCAGTCAATGCTTGGAGTGAGGAGCAGGCAACATGCACTGGAGGAGTATTTCTCTCCTCAGGAGGGTCAGCTCAGCTCACCTGTACAGGAGATGCAGCTTAGCAAGTTTGATGCAACACACTTATACCCTCCCATACCTTTATGTCCTTTACCAAGTTCAGCTCTTATTTTTGTGTGAATTGCTTCCACGAACAGCAGCAGGACACCCACCCCTTTATTTGTGCAAATTAAATGTGGGCTCAGACAGTTAAATGACACTATTTTTATGATAATTTAAAGGAGGGAGTTCTTACATAGTCATTCATAAACTCACTAGTCTTGTCTCTGTAAAATCCCCTGATTCCTCCTGAACTTCCTTAGTCTCCCCCCCCCCCAACAAAACCCCAC